TTGTTTTGTTTTGATTTTAATTACCAAGACAGGACTTCAGCTTCCAGATTTAAATATACGTGAGTGATTGTAGGTGGCTGTGTCTCCGGAACGTCCTCTGCAGGATGCACTCAGTTTGCCACTGCGAGCAAGACACAAACTCTCTTCTTTGTAACTAAATATTTAGCTCCTCCAAGTATGCATTACGGTGTCTGGGGCCAACTCAAATACCATAGCGTGGGTCTTTCTCTGCCCCCACAGCACTCTCTTTAATAGGACTCGGAGGGGAGGAGGATCGAACGCTTCTCAAGTAAACATAGCTGGAAGGATGGGAGGTAACTAGCATTCTTCTTCTTCTTAATCATAATTACGAAACATTAGGGATGAAAAATATGGAAGCAGTTGCCTTTGTGTATCTACGTAGCTAAAGCCTCGAGTATTTTCCGACAGGCAAACCGAGAGAGGAGGATCACGGAGCAGAGCCACGGGCTAGCAGCAAGCCGAGCCGGACGGGGCAGGGGCTGGAGGGTCTGGGGGCTCGGCGGTGCCGTGCCATGTGCACCAGCATGCTGGAGACCTGGAATGCCGCCTGGCAAACGGAGGAACGTGGTGCAACACGCAAGCAAAGCCAACACCCAAAGTCAATCATCATTTGCTGTGTTTTCTGACATATACCATTACAAACGTGGACTACCCGTCAGAGTCACCTCTGTAACTGCAATAGCCACGTACCCACTGCACTTCTTCATTACTAAAAGTACTTCTCTGATGCCTATGCTTAAAATTTCTCATGTATTAACTTTTTTGTTCTTTTGAATGGCAATTCTGCATTACAACCCCCAAAATTAATCACATTCTTCCCACATCCTCCCCGGTAAAGGGTGTATTCTTCCCTAGCGCACACGCATTATTCCTGCGGACACTAACGGCACTTGCGCACACATCCTGACCTGCGCCTAACCTGAGCGGCCCCCAAAATGTTTTCAAGACAGAGATTATATATAACCTCCGTTTTTCTGATGATCCACCATTAATAGGAAAATAACGCAGCTTTTCCCAGAAGGCCACACTCCAAAAAATGAACTGTACTTAAAAAAAAACTATATTTGGTTATAATTTACTCAGACACATCCAAAGTAAAAAAAGGACTTAAAAAAAAAAATAATCGAGCTGAATTTGTGGTTTCCTAGTTAAAGATGTATTAATTTGTAGTTGCTGTTATTTTAATGCAGGACAAGCCCTAATCAAACTAATGGCAAAATTAAAAGCAAGTCTTTAAATCCTTTCAACTGACAGCTTTATTCAGTGATGTCTGTGCTAGCAAAGATTTTAGATATTTTTTTGTGTGTGTGCAATAGGAACGACCAATCATAAGAATTCGGTTATTCTACTGCTGCTCACACCCACACCATATTCAAACATATACATAGTGGGCAATCTATAACAGATGCTTGAAAACTTAGGTAAAATTAAATACTGAAAATAGAAGAAGCAGAAATTGAACATAATCAGGAAGATGTGGGCTTTGATTAACAGTTAGAAAACTCAAATATGCCAAATGTGACAGACCTAGCAAATTCTTCAGTACCACAATGGTCGAGAAACTGCTTCAAAATCCATTCCCAAAATCAGGCACCAGCGAGTATCATCTTCCCCTTCTTTTACAATGGCTCGCACTTAGATTATGACAAATGATTCTCCTGCAGAAGCTAAGGTAAACTCTTCAGAAAATTTTAGAAGATCTGGGAAAATTAATGTTATTTTGGCAACTGTCCTAAAGGAAAAAAAAAGGAAAAAAGGGGAAAAAAACCACCCCCGCTTCACTCTAATGGATGTGTATTGTTCAATTTAAGTAACAGGTATTAAATCACTTTACAAATACAATATAAATTCGAGGTAACTCCAGGGGAGTTTTCTTAAAAATAATTTCAGTCTTCACCAATTCCCCCCGTTAAGGTCAGTCTCCAAACCAGCATGGCTGAATTGTTTTAGTGCTCTCTGCTGAACACCTGCAAACATCAAACAAAAACTCCTGGTCCTTTACTGGGTTGACAAAAGCCTTTCATGTGAAAAATGCTCCATGGGAATGTCACGGCTGAGGCTCAGGTTACATTCCTTTCTCCCTTGCAGCCCTCACCATTTCTTAACATGGTAAGAAGCCATGTTTGTGAAATTAAAGATTAAAAGGAAATGTGGCTTTACTTTATTTTCATTCACACGTTACAAATCACAATAGAGCATCATATATTAGATGAGTAAAAAGCTATTAAGATGACTTTAAGCATGAAATATTACCACACTTCCTAAAGTACAGTTAGTTTCACTTCACTGCTTGGGATTACTTTTCTTTGGGGTCGGTTTGGGGCTTTTTTTTTGCCTCCCCTCTTGTAAGAGAAGTTTCAGGTTAACGCAGAGGAATGACATCTGTGCTTCCCCATCTCAGTAAATATAATTTTTAAAAGGGGACCATTAAGAGAAGGTCAGCTCAAACTTCAGAAGGGCATCTGTCCAGAAGGAAGAACAGGCTGCGTTCAGATCACTAAAATTTCATATTATCAATATGCACGGTTAGAATAATAACCTGTGTTCGTATGTTATTAATGGAGCTATCTTTAACCCTTCCATACAGTAATAGAAAACATCTCTTGAACCGGTTGTCTGGGCGCTAACATATCAAATCTGAATTTCTCGAGTCCTGGCTCATTCCAACACTGCACACCGAATATCCTCCAGGAGCAAGGCTCTGGCACAGAGCTAGCTGGCCAGCAAGAGCACCGGGAAACAATAGCCACGCTTCTCCTTCACGCAACTGTATCTTCAGGCCACACACCCACCCTCGCACCGCGCACCAGCGAAGGGCGATTCACCCCTGCTTAGACTCTGACAACTTTTTTTGAAATCACTGCTCACTCGCTACAAAACCCCCCCATCTAATAACTGAGCAACAGACATTCATCTAGTAAATTCAAAATGATTTTCCCCAAGAAGAGCGTAACCCTGTGCTGCGTGCCGTTGTGCAAACAATCTACCAACATGCAGCATACGTTCCTTTATCAAGCGGGGCACTTCGTCCTCCACCATCAGAGACTGGTGTATTCAGGCATTTACACGTTGTTACAGTGTGGGAGGGTCCAGGTGTTATTTTAAATGGTCTATAACTTAATATTAGTAACTTACTTCAGCTCATTGTATTTTTTGTATGGCTAAAATGATGCATCAAAGTTACTTGAATGCCCTCGGACGTCGAGGCAATAAAAAACAGTGCGACCCCTCGATTTCACTCACTGTCCACGTTTGCTATGCTGTGGTATTTCTGATCCAAATGACTTCACAGATGAGGTTTACGATGCATTTATTAAATATAACTATCTAGTCAATTGCTGTTAGACCAAGTGTTAGTTGCTGCATTGACTGGTATATAAGCATGACAAATTGATTTGTCTGGCACAAACACTCTTTGCTTCTCTCCAGTGAAAACAAATATAGTGAATATTATGTATTCAGTTAAATCAGTTATTAAAATTATGCAATGCAGAAAATGACAAAAAATAGGATTAAAATCTTTAGCTTGACAGATATAAGGCAAATTACGTTTGGAAAGTTATTCAAACCTAACGGTAAAATTCTCCAAGTCACTATATCCATAATATAACCAAATTTGTGAAGATAACATAAAAGGCTGTTATTAATTTGAAAGTCTGAATAGAATAAAATTCACAAAACAAGTGCTTAATAATTGTAGGCGGCATTTGATCTAGTATCTTTAAAACACGTATCACAGACTACCCTCAAATTAGGAAGTCCTTCTTTGGAAATAAAAAGTTAATTGACGTACTAGCGCCTTTAATAAAAATGGCTATACCGAATACACAGAAGAGGTTCCTTTAATTGAGTACAAACTGCAAATACCAGGCACGAAACTATACGCAATGACGTGTTTATATCTAGATATCCACTGGCAGTTTGCAGTGAAGACTTGTCCAAATTTACCATCTGATTTAGAACAGTACTCTGTGTATAACAATACTACGTACAGTGTGTCGGTATGTGTAATTGCCTGTGCTTTTAAAAGACTGCAACTCTCTACCCGGAGATGTATTTGCGTCCTGTCCAAAACACCACATCCGCAAGGCAGGGAACCCTCTTAAACGAACTTAATAGAAGAGTAAGGAAATTTCAAACGCGTAAGTATCTTTGCTAGCTTTACTTCTAATTTGTCAGGCGTATAAAAGCCTCTATATAAAACTTTAGTTGTCAGACAATCATTGTACACATATGTTCTCCCGCAAAGAGCTCCGATATTTCTTTTGTCATCAAACAGGACTCCTGTTTTTATGGCATGCAGAACTTGCCCATATAGTACTACTACAGCCAAATAAACACACATGCAAACAAACAAATCCTCCAGTTAAATTTCAGGGACTCTTCAAAAGCAGTCAAATATTTAGAAAGAAAATGCCCTCTCTTCCACCAGGAAAAGAAACTAGCCTGAAGATTTTAATTCACCGAAAAACATTCCATCAGCAAACAGTGATCTCTAATCCTAAAGAGTTCTTTTCCCGGAAGAGGTTGGTGTTTGTACTCGGATACTTGCTTATTTATTTATTTAATTTAAGCAGCCTTCAATTCTTATTCACAAAATTAATTCTCATGCAAGACGTTTTGCTTATAATTTCTGCCATACAAAAGACAGCATCTGAAACTGCAAAGAAAAATCTCCAATGCTCAATTGAAAAAAAAAGAAAAAAAAAGATTTAAGCTAGCTCACCTTGAACAATTATACAGAGAAGTTTAAGGGTTGGTTTTTTTTAAAAAATCATAAATGTATGGAAATAGTGTGAAAATGTCCCAGTCTTGTGGAAATAATAATAATAATAGCAGCCAGTGCTAAGGAATAATTCCGCTCAAATCTGAATGAATCTGTTCCCCAGAAGAGATTAACACAACCACAACAAAGGTAATGCCTATGGATAAATAACTAACAACAATTTAACTACATACGAAAGAAAAACGTTACATACTTGAGCCAGTAAAATGTCCACTTGCCAAGGAAGTTGGTCCATTTTTCCCACTGCTCACAGGAGGTGAAAACATCTAAAAAAAAAACAAAGAGGCATTACTACTGGAAAACAAGAGATTCCCGAGTCCACTGTTAGTCAAAAGTTCCTTCCACATTCGCTGGGAGCTACATTAATAGTTCGTCTACCACGAAACATCAGCCCCCACAGACCTGAAAACGAGTCAATATTTCTTACGGCCCCCACCAGCCCCTCACCACCATCATCACGGTTTTATTAGGCTCATTAGCTCCCCAAACAATATTCGCTTCCCGAAGAGTTCGAGCAGCCCCCGGCCCCCGGCAGCATTCTCCAGGCTGGGAAGCGGGGCTCGCTCCCCTCTCCAACTCTCACGCTCACAAAGGCGAAAAAAGTTTTTTTTTTGTTGTTGAAACCTTGGCCATAAACGTAGCAATGTCCATTTCCATCCCGCTTTAGGATTTGCCTGTCATATGTGAACCCAAATAATAATAATGCAAAGTGCCACCTGCCCTAAATTCTCATTTCGTCTCTAACACGAGAGCAATTTGAAGCAAGGCTCTCTCCCTCTCCCCCTCTCTCTCCCTCTCTCTCGCTCCCTCTCTCTCTCCCTAGCATTTATTTCGACCCTAATTGGTTTCTCTCTTCTTCGACGTGTCTAGTGGATAATACGCACCTTCCCTGAGTCAGAGCCTGCAAAAAGCGAAGGAACAAATGGAAAAAGTGCAACAAGCAAAGAGGGGGCTGCAAAGCTGCCTCAGGCTACGTTTCCTGGCCAAACTTCCCCAAGCCATCCCTCC